CCCAGTCTTTTAGTTGTTTGTGGACACAGCAGGAGTGACAGCGGTCTGCTGGATGACAGATAGCGCAGAATGAGGCACGAGGTGCCTGTGTTTATTCATGCAGGAGCAGGAGTGTTAGCAGAAGGGTGGGGCACAGGAGGTGGTAGAGCAGAGCATCGCTTTCCTGGCTGCCTTCTGCTCCGAACCCACCCCTAGTCTTCCCCTCTTTCGTCTGTTTCACTGAGGGCACAGCTGGTAGGGGTAACATTGTTCTCCAGCATTAAAACAGAGCGTTAGTAATGTCTAGGAAAAAGTTGACTTTAAAAACACTGCTAATCAGTTTAGGGAATATTTGAGTGTATACCATTTGCTAATCAGTTCATTCAAAACGTGAATTGCCTGCCATAAACTAATAAGCATGATTTGGTTTATGTTGATTTAATTATCTCTGAGTAAATGCTGCTTGAATTAGTGACTGTATCCAGTTTTGCCAAGCATACCCCCATTTATAATTTAAAGAAATTTTTTTATAGAGATGGGGTCTTGCTATGTTGGCCAGGCTGTCTTGAACTCCTGGCCTCAAGAAGTCGTCCCCACTTGGTCTCTCAAAGCACTGGGATTACAGGCATGTACTAATATACTGAACATAAATGATTCAAACGTAGCGGGGAAATGTCTCCTGGTAGCTCAGTACCCCCATTCCCCAGGAGTTGAGTACAGGGCTGTCCAGTCTTTTGGCTTCCCTAGGCCACATTAGAAGAAAAATTGTCGGCCGGGCGCGGTGGCTCACGTCTGTAATCCCAGCACTTTGGGAGGCCGAGGTGGGTGGATCACGAGGTCAAGAGATCGAGACCATCCTGGTCAACATAGTGAAACCCCGTCTCTACTAAAAAAAATACAAAAAATTAGCTGGGCATGGTGGTGTGTGTCTGTAATCCCAGCTACTCAGAAGGCTGAGGCAGGAGAATTGCCTGAACCCAGGAGGCGGGGGTTGCAGTGAGCCGAGACCGCGCCATTGCACTCCAGCCTGGGTAACAAGAGCAAAACTCCGTCTCAAAAAAAAAAAAAAGAAGAAGAATTGTGTTGGGCCACACATAAAATACACTAACGATAATTGATGAGCTAAAAAAAAAAAAAAAAAATTTTTTTTTCCCCCCTACAAAAAAATCTGTTATTTTTATTTTTTTGAGTCGGAGTCTCTGTCACCCAGACTGGAGTGCAATGGTGCGATCTCAGCTCACTGCAACCTCTACCCACCCCCACCTCCCTACCAAAAATCAAGACATTCCCCTGCCTCAGCCTCCCGAGTAGCTGGGATTACCGGCTCCCACCACCTCGCCCAGCTAATTTTTCTATTTTCAGTAGAGACCAGGGTTTCTGACCTCATGACCCAGCCACCTCGGCCTCTCAAAGTGCTTAGATTTACAGGTGTGAGCCACCACACCTGGCCGAAAAATCTCAGCGTTTTAAGAAAGTTTACAAATGTGTGTTGGGCTGCACTCACAGCCATCCTGGGCTGCATGCATCCCGTGGGCCATGGGTTGGTCAATCTTAGTTTGGTAGATCTTTTTGGATTCTATCTCCCTACCCTTGGTGTCTGTCTGTAATATAATGTTATACAGATGCTGTGGTTCATCTACACAGGGAACGGTGGGGACTTGGGACAGGGAGTAACCACCTTTCTTCTTCTCCCATCCCCAGCCACTTGGTGTGTGCCACTAGTCCCAGCTCCTCAGTAGGCAGAGGTGGGAGAATCATCTGAGCCTGGGGAGGTTGAGGCTGCAGTGAGCTGTGATCGTGCTGCTGCACTCCAGGCTGGGCGATAGAATGAGAGACCCTGTCTGAAAAAAGAAGAATGTTATTTCATATGGTTGTCAAATACTTAATGTAATAATATGTTATTCTGATACTATAGAAATCAGGTCAATAAAGTTAGTATTATTGGCTGAATTTTATTATAAGCAGTTATTTGTAGTCATAATATGCCACTTTAGTTTTCTTAAGGTGATTAGTCTTGGGGGTGATGAGGGTGGGAAGCTTGAGAAATGCCCACCTTGGAAGAAGCATTGATTCCTGTTGTCCTGCTCAGCTCGGAGGGGCTGCACCCGCCTCATTCTTTTGTATTGCTAGTTGTCGTTGTATGCAGTCACATACTCCCACTGCCACAAAGACAATACATGAGTTTCCTGGGTTGCTAAAGCATCACAGCGATGGGACTCAGTCCCATGCCCTCTGAGGTTTAGAATTCACATGGTCTCAGCACACGAGCGGAAAGGCCTCCTTGTTTCTCCGAAGTCGGCTTGAAGTTGACTCAGTATTTTCTCATCCAGAAGGGACGGGACTGAAGTTTAGTAGACAGGGCAGGATTAGGAGGAATTTGTCAGTGTTTTTTTTTCCTAAAAAAAAAACAACAACGCTGAGTTGGACCATCTGTACTCACAGTCTTTAGGATTGGTACATATATATAATATTACATGAAAGAGTGGTTGGCCTTCTGCGATTTAGATAAAACCTTCTCATCTAAGACCTAGACTGTCGTGTTTTGTGGAACACATGGGATAGGGCTGTGTCCTTTCCTGGGGAGGACGCCGGGGTTCGACACCACGGATCCACCCGCGCTTTCCCTTCCCTCGCGTGTGCTCCACCTCCAGCCCCCTTCTCCCCGCCATTCTGTTCATCAGGTTACTCAGCCGAGAGCTCTGTTGTTGCAGTGGCTCAAAGAGACGAGTCACCCAGTGGGCACCATCTGTACCTTAACAGCTCTGTCCTTTCCCCCCAACAGGTGACAGAGCTGAATGAGCCACTGTCCAATGAGGAACGAAACCTCCTGTCCGTGGCCTACAAGAACGTGGTGGGGGCACGCCGCTCTTCCTGGAGGGTCATCAGCAGCATTGAGCAGAAGACATCTGCGGACGGCAACGAGAAGAAGATAGAGATGGTGCGCGCGTACCGGGAGAAGATAGAGAAGGAGCTGGAGGCGGTGTGCCAGGATGTTCTGAGCCTGCTGGATAACTACCTGATCAAGAATTGCAGTGAGACCCAGTACGAGAGCAAAGTCTTCTACCTGAAGATGAAAGGGGACTACTACCGCTACCTGGCCGAAGTGGCCACCGGAGAGAAGAGGGCGACGGTGGTGGAGTCCTCCGAGAAGGCCTACAGCGAAGCGCACGAGATCAGCAAGGAGCACATGCAGCCCACCCACCCCATCCGGTTAGGCCTGGCTCTTAACTACTCCGTCTTCTACTACGAGATCCAGAACGCCCCGGAGCAAGCGTGCCACTTGGCCAAGACCGCGTTCGACGACGCCATCGCCGAGCTCGACACCCTCAACGAGGACTCCTACAAGGACTCCACGCTCATCATGCAGCTCCTCCGCGACAACCTCACGCTCTGGACGAGCGACCAGCAGGACGACGACGGCGGCGAAGGCAACAATTAAGGCCCCAGGGGGACTGGCAGCGCACGCGGATGCTACTACTGCAGTCTTTATTTTTTTCCCATGAGTTGGGGGTCGGGTGGGGGAGGGAAAGGGAGGGATGACCTTCCCAGGGAGAAACCCACGACCTGTCCTGTCTTTGATCGCCTCTTTGACATTTTTGCCAAAATACCACTAGTGGAAAGTCAGGCTAGCTGTGCTGGTATTGGAATAGCAGCCTCCCACTGGCGTCTGGACTGTTCTGTAGATTCATGCAAGTGGAGCTGTCTGTCTCTAATTTAACTTATTGCTAGAAGATAGGGTTTTCCGATGAAAAGAAAACTTAAAAGAGGAATGGCCCTCATTCAGTAAGTTCTGTGGTTCCAGTAAGGATTTTTATGTACATACGCTCTCGCCTCTCATTTTGGGTACTTTCTATCTCATCTGTCTCGGCTCTGCATGTTTTCTAGGGTGTAGCCTACAGACATGGAATAGTGTAAACCCCAGACTGACAGAACCTGAGGCCCCGTGCGTCCTTGTGGTTTAGGCCTCGCCAGTTTTCCCGAAGTCTCTGATTAGTTGACAGTATTAACACTAAATTGCAGTTTACAGTATTTCTACATGACAGCCATATGTAACATCAAGCCATCGACTGCGTATTTTTCCTTCGGTTTGCTGGTGGTTTGGGCTTTAACATCCGTGTTCAGCCTTACCCTGTTGGTTTGCTGTTGATCGGTCTCCTAGGCTAAGTGAGGAGAATCGAAGCGACTTCCGGTTTGGGGTGACTAGGTGCTCGGCAGGTGGCTGCGGGATGGTTGTTTTTGGTCCTCCTTTCCTCTTAACATAAATCCACCACCAAAATTATCCATCCTCTTGAGAGCAGTGTGAAACGCCACAAAATTAGAGAAAATTCAGGTCTGTATGTCATGGATCATGTTGGTATTTTCAGAGCACGTCCCGCTTCCGAAGCTGCCACAGCTCCCTCCTCAGGGATCACACTGCCGTCGCCCACTTTGCACTGGAGCGTTTCCCACTGCCCCTCGTGCTGGCGGGCGCAGCTGGGTGGAGAAGCTTTGGGGTCGTAGAGGCATCTGGAGAAGGTCTGTGGTGCAGTGTGTGAAAATTCAGGTGCTAGAAGCCTACTGGTAGAAAAACCCAAAAGGAAGCGCTCGATCCATAACCCTCCTGCCGAGTTGCGGGAGCCTTGTCGGTGTGCCGGTTTTTCCTCCCTGAAGACACTCCTGCCCCTAGTCGTCGTTGTAGGCAGATGAACTAAAACTGTTGCAGAGAACGAACACTTAACTCCTATTTGACCAGAACTTTTTCCTCTCTATATAATTGTTCTTTTAAATGAAAAAAAGCATAGAAATTGGAGATTGGCTTGTCTCGTGCAGCCAGCGCGCATTCGGAATGGACGGAAACAACATTGCTATTTCCACCCATTTGTTTTCGGTCCGCCCTGATCCCTCATTCTCCTTTCAGGTAAATCTGTCTAGCTGTTAACACGGCCTGAGTGCGCATCCAGTTTTTCATCAAGTCAGTGGCAGTAGAAACTCCCGAGGCGTGTAACGATAGCACACTTGTGTTCCTCGTTCCTTTGTTTTATTTAGGTAAGAAGAAGTGTGAGTAATAATTGAGGAAAAACGGACAGATGCTTTTGCTAAATACCAAAACTGAGCTTACACTTAGGAACTGAGTATGTGTAACAGGATACAGGTGACAGTGAAGATGGAAGAACCACGATGAGCACAGTCTCAGTGTGCTCTGTGACGCTGCACAGTTTACCCAGCATGACTTTCCTTAGAAGGCCCCCTCCTCACGCTAGAGCAGAAGTCCCGGTTCACTGAAGCTACAGGAGAACTAGTAGAAGAGAGCTTTGCCGCGTTGGTGCGTCTCACGGGCACCACAAGTCATTGCCATGGGAGGAAAACGATTTCGGGGGGGGGGGGGGGGCGGGGGGGTAGGTGGGGCTTTCCCTAATTTATCTTCATGTCCAGTGAGCAGTGTTGCGTTTTTCCTCGTAGCGTTTGGAAATGATTTACTGGAATTACAAAACCGATTTTTCCTTTAAATTTCAGCTTTGGCTCTGGCTGCTTTTTAGAATAATGCAAGATTAAAAAATCACACCTGAGGGCTAAAAACAGAGAAGGAACGGGAGACGATATTTAAGCAGCTTGAATGGTTTTTCTTTTCTTTATTTTTAAAGAAATGCACTTGCCTATGATACTGTCTCTCCAGTGAAATGATTACTCCTCCATTACTCTATTGATACAATATTGTGCATGCTAGTGTTGTATTTCTATACAGTAGCTTGAAATTGATTAACTTATACTGTAGGTGTTATGTATTCCTATGACAAAAAAATTAAGTCTTCAAATTTTTTAAAGGTTTTTTTTTTTGTTTTGTTTTGTTTTTAATTTAATTATTCCTTTTGGGGGTAAAGTTTGCTCTACCAAATAGTGATTGTAACAAATTGATCTGTTTTGGATGTTGCTATAGTGACATGCAGTTATATATTTTGTTTTTAAAAGGGGGGGAGCAAAAGAAACACCAGTGTTAGCTTAATCTTAATGTCTGGTGTTTGTCATGGTGAAATTATAACTATTACAGTGTCGGAGAACGACGAACACGTTCTCTGAATGAGCCTTTGTGCTTTTTGTCATGTTATGCAGTGAACTATTTTTAAGGTCTAATCAGTGATTATTTTTCCAGCTCCGTGTTTCTCTAAGGAATTATTTCACACACGGACCATCTTTAGCAGTTTCCTCAGTGATGGAATATCATGAATGTGAGTCATTATGTAGCTGTCGTACATTGAGCAAATAAACTTACAGATCTGACGCCAGTGCTCCTTAGCTTCATTGTGTGAGTTTGACTGTTCCTTTGCTTTTGAAGGTTGGAGCGGATATTGGTGTTCTCTTCCCTTACTCAAGGAATGAGGCTGGATCGGCAGAAAAAGGGAAAGCCAGTATGCAGGAAGACAGTATATACTGGGAAGCACCTCCAACCAGAAATCAGATTTGGCTTTGGGGACCTAAAAAACCATTGCACCAGGCGGGGCATGCAGTGGCTCACACCTGTAATCTCAGTACTTTGGGGAGGCTGAGGTGGGCAGATCACGAGGTCAGGAGTTCAATACCAGCCTGGCCAACATGGTGAAACCTTGTCTGTACTCAAAATACAAAAATCAGCTGGACATGGTGGCGGGCGCCTTTTATCCCAGCTACCCTGGAAGCTGACGCAGGAGAATCGCTTGAGCCCAAGAGGTTGCAGTGAGCCAAGATGGCACCACTGCCCTCCAGCCTGGGCAACAAATGGAAAACTCCATCTCAACAAAAACAAAAAACTAGGCCGAGTAGTAGCTACCAACTCTTCAGCACACATTGACCAAACACTTTTAGTGTGGCAGTTATTAAAAAAAAAAAAAAAATTAACTTCTTATTGTAACAGGGTCACTGAGGAAGAAGGGACAGTCAGACGTCCTCTCTGCTTATGCATCCAGTCTGTTGTGATGTGTTTTTTTGGTTTTTTTTTTTTTTTTTTTTTTTGAGACAGAGTCTCGCTCTGTCGCTCAGGCTGGAGTACAGTGGCGCAGTCTCAGCTCACTGCAGCCTCTGCCTCCTGGGTTCAAGTGATTGTCCTGCCTCAGCCTCCTGAGTAGCTGGAATTACAGGCTCAACCGACCACACCTTGTTAACTTTTGTATTTTTTAGTAGAGACAGGGTTTCCCCATGTTGGTCAGGCTGGTCTCGACTCCTGACCTTGTGATCCACCCGCCTCAGCTTCCCAAAGTGCTAGGATCACAGGCATGAGCCACCGCTCTCCACCTTTGTCATAGATGTTTTCTTAAGACAGGGTCTCACTCAGTCACCCAGGCTAGAGTGCAGCAGTATAATCATAGCTCACTGCAGCCTCAAACTCCTGGGCTCTCGTGATCCCGCTTCAGCCTCCTGAGTAGCTGGGAGTACTACCATACTGGACCATTTTCTGTATTTTTTTTGTTTTTTTGAGATGGAATCTTGTTCTGTTGCCCAGGCTGGAGTGCAGTGGCATGATCTTGGCTCACTGCCATCTCTGCCTCCTGGGTTCAAGTGATTCTCTGGTCTCGGCCTCCTGAGTGGCTGGGATTATAGGCACATGCTGCTATGCCTGCCTAATTTTTTGTACTTCAATAGAGACAGAATTTCACTGTTACCCAGGCTGGTCTCAAACTCCTGAGCTCAGGCAGTCCACCCATCTTGGCCTCCCAAAGTGCTCAGATTACAGATAGGGTGAGCCACTGCGTCCAGCCGGGCTATTTCATATTTTAGAGACAGGGTCTTACCATGTTGTCCAGGCTCATCTCAAACCTCCTGGCTTCTAGTGATCTGCCTTAGCCTCCCAGAGCATTAGGATTACAGATGTAAGCCACTGCACCTGGCTTTTTGTGATGGGTTGTTTCAGTTGAAGTATTTGAAAAAATACACTCTCACATAGATAAGTAGTTGGGAAGGGATGAACCTAAAGAAGTGAAGTTGAATGGCAAAAGTAGAAAAAGGTTAAGAAACTTCTCATTGGTGGCTCATGCCTGTAATTGTAACAGTTTGGGAGGCTGAAGTGGTGGATTGCTTGAGCCCAGGAGTTCAAGACCAGCCTAGGCAACACAGTACATAGTGAGAACCCTGTCTACAAAAATTAGGTGGGCATGGTGGTGTCCACCTGTAGTCCCAGCTACTCAGGAGGCTGAGGTGGAAGGATTGCTTGGGCCCAGGACGTTGAGGCTGCAGTGAGCCATGATCATGCCACTGAATTCCAGCCTGGGAGACAGAGCAAGAACAAAAAAAAAAAGGGTCAGGCTGAGTGGCTCATGCCTGTAATCCCAGCACTTTGGGAGACAGGTGGGCAGATCATGAGGTCGAGATTGAGACCATCCTGGCCAATATGATGAAACCCCATGTCTATTAAAAATGCAAAAAAGTTAGCTGGACCTAATGGCGCACACCTATAATCCCAGCTATTCTGGAGGCTGAGGCGGGAGAATCACTAGAACCCAGGAGGCAGAGGCTGCAGTGAGCCAAGATCACTCCACTGCATTCCAGCCAGGTGACAGAGCAAGACTCCATCTCAAAGAAAACAAAAACCAAAAAGACGTATACTACATGAATTATAGTCTGTAGATCAGGCACTGGTGGTAAAGGTCTTTTTCGCCTCTTTTTCAGTATACTCTAGAATTTTTATAACTGATACTAGGCCAGGTGTGGTGGCTCATACCTGTAATCCCAGCACTGGGAGGCCTAGGTGGGCAGGTCACCTGAGGCCAGGAGTTCCAAAGCATCCTGGCCAACATGGAGAAACCCTATCTCTACTAAAAATACAAAAATTAGCCAGGTGTGGTGGCACACGCCTTTTATCCCAGCTACTCGGGAGGCTGAGGCTGGAGAATCGCTTGAACCCAGAGATGGTTGTGAACTGAGATTGTGCCATGGCACTCCAGCCTGGGCAACAGAGCAAGACTCCATCTCAAAAACAAACAAAAGCTGATACTCAGAAAGGTGATTATTGGGAGGCCGAGGCGGGTGGATCACGAGGTCGAGAGATCGAGACCATCCTGGTCAACATGGTGAAACCCCGTCTCTACTAAAAATACAAAAAATTAGCTGGGCATGGTGGCACGTGCTGTAATCCCAGCTACTCAGGAGGCTGAGGCAGGTGAAATGCCTGAACCCAGGAGGCGGAGGTTGCGGTGAGCCGAGATCGCGCCATTGCACTCCAGCCTGGGTAACAAGAGCGAAACTCCGTCTCAAAAAAAAAAAAAAAAAAAAAAGGTGATTAAAAATAACGGCGTGAAACAGCAGAGGTCTCGATTTCAAGAACTTCAGGGGTGGAGTAGAGGGGCCATAAATGAGCTAATTCAGTGGGACCTTCCAGTACAGTAAATACACTGCTGTTGACTGTGAAAGCTGTTTCCTCCACTCTATTTCTGTGTGGTGACCACACGTACTGGCCTATGCTCTGGTCAGCTGAAACTGCACGTTGACTCACTGGGTGATCCGAGTGTCTGAGGATGGCACCTACCTCCTGGGTGCACAGTTCCCAAAGCTGGCTTGGAGAAACAACCTTCTGAGCACTGGCACGGGCTCGGTACTGTTCTAGGAGTTGACAGTAAGTGGTCACCAGCCTAATCAGAACATTCACATGTGGCATGTCAGCTTGCTAATTAGCCCGCTGGTGTGAATTTTCCAATTCTGGTGTGGAGAAATGTGGTTGAATCTGAATGGCCACAAGTCTACCTCTCATTAACCGCAGAGAGCTGTGGTCAGTGAGGAGTTAGGGCGGGAGTGGCTGGATCACACTGGCAAGACACGAGTCAAGACATCTTAGGTTACCTGAGGTACTAACATGGCACTCTGTAATCCAGAGTATTGGAGAGGAAAGTCCGTAGGAATTACTTTGAGGAACATTATGACTTTGGGCTGTTTTCTCCTTTACTTTTTTGGAGAGACAGGCTCTCGCTCTGTTGCACAGGCTGAAATGCAGTGGCATGATGACAATTCACCGTGGCCTCTACCTCCTAGGCTCAAATGATCCTCCTGTCTCAGCCCCCTGAATAGCTGGGACTACAGGTGCGTAGCACCACACACACCTGGCTAATTTTTTGTATATTTTGCAGAGTTGGGGTCTTGCTATATTGCCCAGGCTGGTCTCGAACTCCTGGCCTCAAGCAATCTTCCCACCCCAGCCTCCCAAAGTGCTGGGATTATACACATGAGCCACTGCACCAGGCCGGTTTTTATTTTTTGAGTTGGCAGTGCACACGTGATACAAAATACAAAAGCGTGAGGCAGCCGTATGCCGCCCATGAAGCTTGAAATATTTACTCTGTGGCCAGTAGTCGCAGAACCCCGGTTTATCAGAAACTCCCACCACGCCCGTTACCTGGTCACCCATTCATTGCCGTCCTTAGAGGTAACTATTGCCGTTCATTCTTCTTAATTTGGTTCAGATTGAAATAGGATTTTTGCTGCCTTTGAGCACTGACATGACTCTGGCCTTGTGATTTTATTTTACTGATTGATTTTTTTTTTTTTTTGAGACGGAGTGTCGCTCTTGTTACCCAGGCTGGAGTGCAATGACACGATCTCGGCTCACCGCAACCTCCGCCTCCTGGGTTCAGGCAATTCTCCTGCCTCAGCCTCCTGAGTAGCTGGGATTACAGGCACGCGCCACCATGCCCACCTAATTTTTTGTATTTTTAGTAGAGACGGGGTTTCACCATGTTGACCGGGATGGTCTCGATCTCTCGACCTCGTGATCCACCCGCCTCGGCCTCCCAAAGTGCTGGGATTACAGGCTTGAGCCACCGCGCCCGGCCTTAAAGTTTTTTTATTAAAATTCTTTTTTCTTAAAATTGAAAAGAACATTTCAGTGATTGGCTGCAGACTCACTACTTGACATGGCAGATAATGTCTCTGTGTGTTGTGGAAACTTGAAAGTAAGTCACTGGGCCTGGTGCGGTGGCTCACACCTGTAATCCCAGCACTTTGGGAGACCAAGGCAGGCAGATCACAAGGTCAGGAGTTCAAGACCAGCCTGACCAACATGGTGAAACCCCGTCTCTACTAAAAATACAAAAATTAGCCAGGCATGGTGGCGTACACCTGTAATCCCAGCTACTCAGAAGGCTGACACATGAGATCTTTTGAACCTGGGAGGCGAAGGTTGCAGTGAGCTGAGATCATGTCACTGCACTCCAGCCTGGGCCACAGAGACCCCATCTAAAAAAAAAAAAAAAAAAAAAAAAGTCACCACTGGCATTTTACTCCCAATGTTCATATTACTCCTTAAAAAACGGACACCCTGGGGGCCGGGCGCGGTGGCTCAAGCCTGTAATCCCAGCACTTTGGGAGGCCGAGGCGGGTGGATCACAAGGTCGAGAGATCGAGACCAACCTGGTCAACATGGTGAAACCCCGTCTCTACTAAAAATACAAAAAAATTAGCTGGGCATGGTGGCGCGTGCCTGTAATCCCAGCTACTCAGGAGGCTGAGGCAGGAGAATTGCCTGAACCCAGGAGGCGGAGGTTGCGGTGAGCCGAGATCGCGCCATTGCACTCCAGCCTGGGTAACAAGAGCGAAACTCCGTCTCAAAAAAAAAAAAAAAAAAAAAAAGGACACCCTCAGCCTGGCACAGTGGCTTTTGCCTGTAATCCCAGCACTTTAGGAGGCTGAGGTGGGCAGATCACCTGAGGTCAGGAGTTTGAGACCAGCCTGGTTAACATGATGAAACCCTATCTCTACTAAAAATACAAAAAAAAAAAAAAAAAAAAAATAGCCAGGCATGGTGGCAGGCACCTGTAAATCCCTACACAGGAGGCTGAGGCAGGAGAATTGCTTGAACTCGGGGAGGAGGAGGTTGCAGTGAGCCAAGATCTCACCACTGCACTCCAGCACGGGAGACAAAGAGAGACTCCATCTCAAAAAATAAATAAGATAGGTGCTTTAATAAGAACTGGCTTTTACTCACAAAGTGTTCCACACACATCTTCACTTGGCCCAGAGTCCTGGTGGTCTGCAGCTCTTCTGCCCTCGGCATGCGGGAGCTGGGGAGACAGCACAGCCCACCTTATTTACTCCAGTTAACTCAGGAACAGAAAGCATGCCTGAGATGCCTCCTTCATATCGGATCTACACGAGGATAATCACAATCTTGGTGTTACATTAGCTCTTCCCACTGTGAGGGGGAAATTACCCTACCACTCGTTGGCTCTTAGGAGCTGAGACGATACATGAAAACCTCTTTTTACTCTCTTAACCTGAAGCCGGATTTTAGAGATGGGGTTTCACTGGTTGTCAGTTTTTTTCTTTTGTTTTGAGACAGGATCTCGATCTGTTGCCCAGGCTGGAATGCAGTGATGCAGTTACAGCTCACTGCAGCTTCCAACTCCTAGACTCAAAGCAATCCTCCTGCCTCAGCGTCCCAAGTACCTGGGCTACCTTGCCTGGCTAACTAAAAAAAATGTTTTTGGCAGAGCCTGGGTCTTACTATACTATGTTGCTCAGGCTGGTCTTGAACCCTGGGCTTAAGCGATCCTCCTGCCTTGCCCTCTCAAACTGCTGGGATTACAGGTGTGAGCCACCATGCCCAGCCGGGCTGTTGGTTCTTTAAAACCAGAGAGAAAACTCATTTTTTATTCCATTAGGTTTATCAAAGCAGGCTGCCTTCCGAGAGACGGTATTTTTTGGTTTTGCTTTTGTTTTGAGACAGAGTATCGCTCTGCCATCTGAGCTGGAGTGCAGTGGTGTGATCTGGACTCACTGCAACCTTCACCTCCTGGGTTCAGACGATTCTCCTGTCTCAGCCTCCTGAGTAGCTGGAATTACAGGCGTGCGCCACCACATCCGGCTAATTTTTGTATTTTTAGTAGAGATGGGGTTTCACCATGTTTGTCAGGCTGGTCTCAAACTCCCGACCTCGTGATCTGCCCACCTCAGCTTCCCAAAGTGCTGGGATTACAGGCGTGAGCCACTGTGCCCGGCCCAAGAGAGGTTTTTTTTAGTATTATAGTTTATAGGGGTTTTGCCTGCTAAGTTTGCTGAGTAAATTCTCGGACAAGGAGTGTGGGTAGTGGGCAGATCAAGAGTGAAAAATACTCTCGCCGGGCGCGGTGGCTCAAGCCTGTAATCCCAGCACTTTGGGAGGCCGAGGCGGGTGGATCACGAGGTTGAGAGATCGAGACCATCCTGGTGAACATGGTGAAACCCCGTCTCTACCAAAAATACAAAACATTAGCTGGGCATGGTGGCGCGTGTCTGTAATCCCAGCTACTCAGGAGGCTGAGGCAGGAGAATTGCCTGAACCCAGGAGGCGGAGGTTGCGGTGAGCCGAGATCGCGCCATTGCACTCCAGCCTGGGTAACAAGAGCGAAACTCCGTCTCAAAAAAAAAAAAAAAAAAGAAAAAAGAAAAATACTGTCTTGCCCTAAATCAGGAGACTACATTAGAAACAGACAATATAGATTCAGGAAATAAAGGATGACTAAAAGGTATAAAGGACAGAGCAGCTTGTAGCTGACTGCAAGCATTTTGGGGTGAGTCTTTTTTTCATGTCATCTCCCTAAATGCCGCCCAAATCTCCAAGGTCAAACAGATGCCAACTCCCGCTGCTGGGGCGGCAGCAAGATGAGTGATAATCATTGCTTTCCATGGTATGTTAGCACTTCGATTTCTTTCGCCTAGTGGTGACAGAGCCAAAATGAAATTGGGTAAGTACAAAACACAGCAAAATAGCAGCGGCCCCACCCCTCAGGGCTTCAGGCACGCACCCGCCACAACTGGTCTAGCTGCCCCTGCCCCATTCTTCGGGCTGCAGGACGCTGCTATGTTGCTGGTTTGCTAAGGCCCCGGAGCCGGGCGGGGGGATTCAGCATCCCTCCTGGCCCAGGTCTGGATCCCCTCCCTACTCCCACCTGGGGGCTCCTGCGGTCCGGTCCCCTGCTGACCCCTCTAGGCTCTGAAGCTGGCTTTCCCCGGGACCGCCTCTTCCAGACCCCGGACTGCAACAGCGTCCTCGAGCCACCCGGCTCCAACTCATCTGGGAGCTCCATCCTCCGCCCTACCTCTGAGTACCTCCCCTGCGCCCAGACCCCGGGCCAAGGAAGCCTTTTGCTGCCGGCGTCTCCCCGGGGGCGCTGCTTTGCACCGGCAAGCCGTTCGTCCCTGGCCCCGGTGTGCTACGGCGCACCTCTGTTGCTCGGGTTTCTCGACGGAAGTACCTGATCCTCGGACCGCGCCGAGACCAGGGTCCCCGGACTACGCGGAGGCCCGGATGTGGGTTGGGCGGGGCCGCGGCTGTGTCTGCAGCCGGGTCCCGGGAGGCGGCCCCCTCCCTCTCAGGCACGGCAAGAGCCAATCACAGGCCAGCGTGTCCCCGCTCCGCCAATAGTCGGCCTGTTGCTAGGGCCTGGGTTTTTGCTCCTGAATCGGCCCGCTCTGCAGCCCCAGGGCTTCCTTTGCTGCAAACCCGGTCCTCCAGCCACCCGGGAGCTTTATCTCCCAATGTCAGCCGCTTCTCTCCTCCGTCTTCAGCCTGCACCTTTGTTACGTGCTTGGGAGGGCGCAGCCTTGGGGTCGTGGTGGGTCCTTGGTCCCAAGCCTGACCTTCAGTTTCCCTATCTGAATAATGACGTGATCTCTCGTATCCCAGGTCTGCGTTATTAGCAGATTGCAGAAGAGGAAACTCCTGGCCCCCCGACGCACACACAGCTGGGAGGATTCTGGTGGCGACCTGGGTCTGACAGGTTCCATCACCTTATACGTGGGCACCATGGTTGCAGCAGTGAGAAAGGGGGCAGATTTGGTGTCCTGGGGACACTGAGGCCTGACCCTGCCTCTCTTTGGTATACCAGGCCCTTCATAGCTAGGTCCCAACCTGCCTGTCCAAGGTGTTTACGGCCCCATCGGCCTCCTGTGCGCCCTGCAAGGCCCTCTGCTCGAATGCCCTTCCCTCCCACTGTCCTGATGGTGATAACTTTGAATTGAACAGCGGTGGCCAGCCAGGGCTAGGGCTCTCCCCCATCATCAGTCCTGAAAGATGTCAGAAATGGATTAAAGATACCCAATCTCCCCACTTCCCATCTCCTGACATAGAGTTGTATAATCTCAGGCCGAGTGGGGAGATGAGTTGCCCAATTCACTATCAAGGCGGGATTTAGTAATTAAAAATCAACTCCGATGTGGCTGCTGTTCGAAAGGTGGGATTCTGTCACTCAGCAATGTCTATTTTCTCTTTCTTTTTTTTCTTTTCTTTTATTGACAGAGTTTCGCTTTTGTCACCCAGGCTAGAGTGCAATGGAACGATTTCAGCTCACTGCAACCTCCGCCTCCTGGGTTGAAGAGATTCTCCTGCCTCAGCCTCCTGAGTAGCAGAGATTACAGGTTCATGCCACCACATTTGGCTAATTGTTGTATTTTTAGTAGGAATGGGGTTTCACCACTTTGACCAGGCTGGTCTCAGACTCCGTATCTCAGGTGATTTACCTGCCTCTGCCTCCTAAAGTGCTGGGATCACAGGTGTGAGCCACCACGCCCGGCCTCTTTCTTTCTTTTTCAGAGACAGGGTCTCACTCTGTTGCCCAGGCTGGACTGGAGTGCAGTGGTGCAATTATAGCTCACTGAAGCCTACAACTCCTGGGCCCCAAGTAGCTGGGACTTATCACCCAGCTGATCTTTTTATTTTATTTTATTTTTTTGAGAAACAGGGTCTCTGAGGTGGGAGGATCGCTTGAGCCCAGGAGTTCTGGGCTGTAGTGGCCTATGCCGATCGGGTATCCACACTCACTAAGTTTGGCATCAATATGGTGACCTCCTGGGAGCGGGGGACCACCAGTTGCCTAAGGAGGGGTGAACCGGCCCAGGTCAGACACAGAGCAGGTCAAAACTCTCGTGCTGATCAGTAGTGGGATCGCGCCTGGGAATAGCCACTGTACTCCAGCCTGGGCAACATAGCAAGACCCTGTCTCTTAAAAAAAAAAAGAAAGAAAGAAAAGAAAGAAAGAGGGTCTCATTATGTTGCCCAGACTAGTCTCAGATACCGGACCTCCAGTCTCAGCCTCCCAAAGTATTGGGATCACAGGTGAAAACCACTGTGCCCAATCCAATGTCTCGTTTTCTGAATAAAGGGCTATTGGGGGACAAAAGCTTAAGAGCTCAGGATTTGAATTATCCCACCATGTCCTAGTTAGGTGACATAACCTCTCAAGGTATTTAGGCTTTTAGGGGGTCACTTTCCATATCTGTAAAACGGGAATAATACAACCTACTTCAAAAATGTTTAGCGGTGATGGAGTGCCAACTGTTTGCTCTGGGCAGTGTTCTAAAGACTCACAGTGGCCAGGTGCAGAGGCTGAAGTCTGTAATCCCAGCACTTTGGGAAGCTGAGGCAGGAGGATCACCAGAGGCCAGGAGTTCTAGACCAGCCTGGCCAATATAGCAAGACCCTGTCTCTACCAAAAATTACAAAATTAACCAGGCGTATTGACAAATGTCTGTAGTCCTGGCTACTTGGGAGGCTGAGGCAGGAGGATAGCTGGAACCCGGGAATTCAAGGCTGCAGTGAGTCATAATGGTGCCAGTGCCCGCCAGCGTGGGTGACTGGGCAAGATCCTGTTTCAAAAAAAAAAAAAAAAAAGTAAAAAAAAAAGACTCCTTAAGTATTCATTTGTATAGTCGCATCATCTTGCAGTTGAAGAAACTGAGATTTAGCAACATGGCCAAAGTCCCACACTTGAAAAGTAAGTGGCCAGGCCAAGCGCCGTGGTTCATGGCTTTTGTTCCAGCACTTTGGAAGGCTGAGGTGGGCGGATCACCTGAGGTCAGGAGTTCGAGACCAGCCTGACCAACATGGAGAAACCCTGTCTCTACTAAAAATACAAAATTAGGCCGGGCACGGTGGCTCAAGCCTGTAATCCCAGCACTTCGGGAGGCCGAGGCGGGTGGATCACGAGGTCAAGAAATCAAGACCATCCTGGTCAACATGGTGAAACCCCGTCTCTACTAAAAATACAAAAAAGTAGCTGGGCATGCTGGCACATGCCTGTAATCCGAACTACTCAGGAGGCTGAGGCAGGAGAATTGCCTGAGCCCAGGAGGCGGAGGTTGCGGTGAGCCGAGATCACGCCATTGCACTCCAGCCTGGGTAACAAGAGCGAAACTCCCGTCTCAAAAAAAAAAAAACAAACCAAAAAACAAAATTAGCCAGGCATGGTGGTACATGCCTGTAATCCCAGCTACTTGGGAGGCTGAGGCAGGAGAATCGCTTGAATCTGGGAGAGAGAGAGGGTGCAATGAGCCGAGATCTGGCCATTGCACTCCAGCCTGGGCAACAGGAGCAAAACTCAGTCTCAAAAAAAAAAAAAAAAAAAAAGGAAGTTGCCAAATGGAATCGAATCCAGGCAGTGTACACGAGTTTCTGTGGGCATAACTGCAATTCCATGCTGCCTCTCTCAGTGGAGTAGGGTTGCAGAGGATTTAATAAACTAATGAGTGATTGGCAGCTAGCAGGTGCCTCCTAATACATGCCAGTTCTGATTAGGACCAGAACAGAAACAGTGATCAACTCCTCCTGCAGCAGAGGTGCGACAGGGTGGGCGGGGTCCCAGGCCCAGGCCTTGGCTGCCGGACCCTTCCAAGGCCGAGAGAGTGGGCTGGGTCCTTCAGGAGGGAAATTCGAGGAGGCTTGAAGGCTCTTGGACACTGAGGCCCGGGGCAGATGAGAATCGGGCAAAGGCATGCTGGGCGTGGGGCTGGGGAGAGGGGCGGTGGGCAGGTGTCAGAGTTTTTCAAGACTGAGCCTCTATTTTTTTTTTTTTTTTTTTTTTTTTGAGACAGAGTCTTGTTCTGATGCCCAGGCTAGAGTGCAGTGGCATGATCTCGGCTCGCTGCAACCTCCACCTCCTGGGTTCAAGAGATTCTCCTGCCTCAGCCTCCTGAGTAGCTGGAACTACAGGTACCTGCCATCACACCTGGCTAATTTTTGTATTTTTAGTAGAGACAGGGTTTCACCATGTTAGCCAGGCTGGTCTCAAACTCTTGACCTCAAGTTACCCACCTGCCTCAGCCTCCCAAAATGCTGGGATTATAGGCATGAACCACTGTGCCTGGCCTGTCTCTTTGTATTTAATTTTATTTATTTATTTATAAGAGACAGGGTCTTGCTCTGTCTTCCAGTCTGGAGTGCAGTGGTGTGATCACATCTCACTGCAGCCTCAAGCTCTTGGGCTCAAGCAATCCTCCTGCCTCAGCCTCCTAAGTAGCTGGGGCTGTAGGTGTGCACTACCACACCCGACTACTTTTTCCTACTCTTTTTTTTTGGTAGAGATGGGGGTCTCACTATGTTGCCCAGGCTGGTCTCACACTCCTAGGCTCAAGTGATCCTCCTGCTTCAGCCTCCCAAAGTGCTGAGATTACAGCTGTGAGCCACCACGCCTGGCCAAGACCAAGTCGTTTGCCTCTGTTTGCACTCTGCAGGGCTCAGAACCTGGGCGGGTTCATTCTCTCTGGGAGGGCACCAGGGGGCAGTCGCTTACTGCTCTATCTGGGCCTGGGAGTGGGGCGAAGTGGGTGCACAGCCCCAAGTCGTCCTCTAGGGGCCAGTCTCGGGGCTGCCTGGGCACAGCTCCATCCTCCGTGCGGGAGGGGCTGAGGCTTCCTGCCTGACCTTGACCCGAGCCCGGGTGGGGATTGATTTATTTTCCTCCCATCCAGAGCCCACCGCCCCTTTGCTGAGGGGATCGGCATGTGGGGATGCTCCCAGGGTTCAAGGCTTTCAGGCTGGGCAGGCCTGGAGAAGATGGGTCTCGGGGGTCTTCAGCAGAGTGATTGATGGAAGAAATTGCCAAGGGATAGTTTGGGCTTGAAGGTTCAGAGAAAGGCAGGGTGGGATTCAGAGTAGGGGGCCTCAGAGAAGGGAGGGGAGCTTGGGGAAGTGAGGAAGTACAGTCATCGGATGGGGGCTCAGAGAATACTTTCTTGGAGAACTCTAAGAAAAGTTGGGGTTTCAGGCCAGGCGAGGTAATCCCAGCACTTTGGAAGGCAGAAACAGGAGGATCACTTGATTGCAGGAGTTCGAGACTTGCCTGGGTGACACAGTGAGACCCCCATCTCTACAAAAAATTAAAAACTGCCAGGATCGGTGGCTCACGCCTGTAATCCTAGCACTTTGGGAGGCCAAGGTGGGTGGATCATCTGAGGTCAGGAGTTCAAGACCAGCTTGGTCATCATGGTGAAACCTCATCTTTAAAAAAAAGTAAAAAGAAAAAAAATTAAAAACTTACCAGATATGGTGGCGCATGCCTGTTGTCCCAGTTACTCAGAAGG